TATCCCCCCCCCCCACCTCTTCCTAGGCAATCACTAACGAACCCCCACCCCCACTCCGGAAAAGAAACTTCGGACGTAACTACACAAACACAAGTAGTTTTAATTAGGCCCTTCAAAAGTCTGCGTACGAGGCTAGCCTGCCAACTATGCACTTCCGGGCTGTATGCTGCGTCCGAACCTTCCCGTGCATATCCGCGAAATCGGGAGGAAAACAAAAACTGCAAACTGTTGGATCGTCATAGCCTGTAGCTGGCACCGTGGATCTATACTGGTTATTTAAAATCAAAATGTGGACAGTGTATGGTGGTGTGTTTCTGCTGTATCGTTCGGTTTTGGGTCAAGTTTTGTTTTATTGTCTTGACGTCCTCCCACCGACACTACCCTACGTTCCCCTGAGTTCGCTAACCTGTGTAGATCAGGCACCGCGGATCGCTGGAAAATACTGAAGAAATTGGCCAAAATAAGGGGAATACTTTCATTTCCAAGCAGATCTTTTGGTGGGGGTAAGACAGTATCAAATTGGCCAGTCTGTAACCATTCCCCCACCAAAAGATCTGCTTGGAGATTACGAATACTTACCAGGAGAGTTAGCCGGATTTACACGGAGCCTGTGCGGGCTATTAAAGCACAGTTAACATATACGGAAGTAAAAGTAAGGTACATATATTTACAGTGTGAAGACTTCTAATATTAACCTATAACCTGTATGTTCTAAAACTACTTTTATACAAATAGGTTCGGCTTCTCTTTTCGGTGATGTTAGATAACATCGAGTTGGTTGGAAAAACTTAAACGGGACCGATAAATATTCAGCAAGACTTTTAAAAGCCGCGGTCTTTGACTTTTAGGTTTTACGTGTGACAGTGTAAATACGTTTAGGATGTGTGGTTGAATGTGCGAAGTCGCAATAATCTTGTCACGACAAAATGTTCGGTATCTGACAATCGCCTGGTTCCTTTCTTCCAGGAACCTGTGACAGTCCCATCCTGTTAGTCATCACTTTGGACTATTGAATAAATATTGGGTCGTTGGAAGTTCAAATCCCAGCTGTTGTTACTCACCCGACATGCACGCTACTGGAAAGGTTTATAATAATAGGAAATAGTAGTCCTCAGAGCGGGACCGTCCACTGTTCATTGTGCGTGCCGTGGGGGAATGATCGTTAGCTTTTATATATGGCCGTTTTTTTGTCGCTACCCCCACCAAGTGGCCGGCGGCTTTCTCTTGCTAATGGATACTGTCTTGCCACCGAAAGGGATCTGCTTGGAGATTAGGTACAATGAACCTGTAAATACTGATCAATTGTTGGTGGGGGTAGCTACAAAAAAAAAACGGTCATATATAAAAAAGCTAATGATCATTCCCCCACAACCTCTGCTTGGAGAGTAGTAAATACTGCACCTATATAATAGCGTCTGTCTTCTCTGTCACAAACAGTGGGAGATTAGCTCTTCGCATTCAGTAAGCTAAAACTGGATCGAGATCACTTTACTCTAACAATGCCATCCTGTTAGTTAACACATGACATGTTTTTTTTCGTGCCATTTCTATACCAACATTCTTACCTGATCTGTCAGTATCTATAATACAGTACATATGCAATACCCGCTTTAATACTGCTATATGTACATATCATCATCTGACCGTGAAAGTCTCATGGATTTTATAAATGTATAAAAACGGCGCAATAATAATGAAACAAGTAAAACATGTACGAAATGATCTTTATTTTCCCTTGCCTAAGTTGGTCATTTCGGGTTAGTGTACATTCTAATTTGTCTGAGGTATTGAAAATATTTCCTCGTATTTGACCTTCGAAACCTTTTCATTATACAAAATAAACGCCTCCCTTTTGTAAACAGAACCTTCACCATGGATACGGCCAAGTGCGTCTCCGTACGTCATTGGAAATCCGTGACGTCATCTAACCATGTGCACACTAGTCCGTGACGTCACTGAATACTGTGTACACACACCAGCTCTCTTGACTGAGCTAGCAACAATTACAAAAGAGGTGAGTACTAAATATCTTATCTAGGATCCAAATTGAATAGTTTTTCGCAAATGACGAAGTTACTTTCCTTGTGTACATAATTAGGAAAATGTATCCGCTGGTTTGCACATTTATTTATTTCCAATTTTTTACTGATAAAATTCAAGTTCGCTCTTGCTGTACCTACTAGTACATGTATGTACCGTACGTATGTCGAGGCTTTTGCAGGTCGCCAGGTGGCCTACAAGTCAACCACGCAAGTTCATGTTAATTTAAGTATATATGCAATGGAATGCGTATACGTACAACATAAAGTACATAAAGAATATTTACAAACGGCTACGTAGTGACAGCACGGATATATGGCTTGAGGGCGTATACTGTACTTCCGTACGATACTGATACATGTCTGATACGCATACGAGGTTCTGGCCTGTATAGTTTTTGTTTTAGTGCATCAGAACTAGGAAGCGCTTCTCACTTAAACGTTAAACAATTTGCATGAAAAAACAACAACACAAGGCTTAATTAAGACACCGTATGAAAATACTGAGGTACACTTGCTGCACGAAAGGACGTCTAACTTTTTATTGACGTGTAAATGTAAGTTGAAAGCTGATATATACAAACGGGACTATGTGTTTTACCTCCATACAGTGGCTTTTATTCCAAGCCTTCTAACGTCAAACAAGTTACACTTTCTCAATTTCCTGATAACTTAATTACAAATTCTTGCCAAATTGCTTATTCCACATGTTGGAAATAACAGAAAAATGATACAAAATGGAATGGTAGATACAGTGCATGTGGTGTCACGAAAATGAGGGTCTGACTGAAACTTGACTGTCTTGAATTAAGTTTGGTTGCTTCCTCAGAATATTTCTTCCATAATGTGTTGATTCCAACCGTTTTTTCTTCGTCCTCTACGAAGAAAAAAATTAAACATTTTTCAGTTTTTTTTTTAATTTTTGTGAATGATTTTAAGGCTGGGGGTAGGCAAAATATTTCGTCTTGGTCCTCAAATATTTACAAGAGTTCGGTTTCTGTGTCGTCTCTACGTCAGATGATGATGATGACGTGGCTTGTCACGTGTCATGATCTCCGTGACGTCAGAGAACTTGCTCCAGAAGCCCCCCAGGACGGGCTTACAGCGCACGCGCAGGAAGTGTCTGGTGTTGGGTTCGAGTCCCAGCAGGAGGAAGTTGCTCTGCTCACCTGTCTCCTGGACCTGGAGTTTAGAAAATTTAAAAAAAAACATGAGATCTCGAACCAGTTTAGCTTACTGAAGAGCTACTCTTTTACTGGTCGTGACAGAGAAGACAGATGCTGTATTTGCAGTGTTTCTTCTCAACGAAAGTGTTAGATTTCTGTCGAATCAACCGTTCTGTTTATCAGCTGTACTGCATGTTAGTTAAGCCACCAACATGGCGGATGCAAAATTACGTCATAGTCACGTGACTGCAAACGCCCAATAGCATCAGAAGATTTTGTCTCACCGTCCAATCGTCTTTCTGGTCGTTCTCTGATCTGTACTGCAGCTCGTACTGTAGGCTCAGGAACAGGATGTCTCTCGGTGACCTCCAGCTGACCTTGACCTTTGTCCCGTCGTTATGGCGGAGCCGGGTGTGCACGTCACAGGGCGGATCGGGTTTCACTGCGGACGGAATGAGGGAACGAATGAATGAATGAGTGACTAAATAAGTGAATGGATTCAGTGTACATCGACTTCTACTTGGAATTCTCACAAGCCATTACAGGTGTATTTTGTCCAATTCAATGTAGGTTGCATCAATTGCCCATCTAATTTCTGTATAAATTAACATTTCTTATCAAGAAATCTTAGACAGCCGACGAAATAGAACATTGAATTTGGATATATTCAGACATTCTTGCCCTTAATCAACTCTTGAGAAAGGTTTGTTTGTTTGTTTGTTTGTTTGTTTGTTTGTTTAAATAAAAGATCAGTCGTCTGTTCCAAATTCACGGCCAACTCAACTCTCTCCGTGGTTGTAACTACATAGTACGGCCGCTAGATGGCGCCACTACTCACCTCTCTCGGTGGTTGGATCTACATAGTACGGTCGCGAGGTGGCGCTGCCCAGCGCGTTGGTGGCCTGCAGCTCGAACCGGTACCGCGTGTTCAGGTAGGCGTGGTCGTACCCGAAGTAACAGCTGTCCACGCCCTCGTACTCAGGGCACTCGTGCCGGATCCGCCTTCCGTCGCTAGGAGAGAAATCACACGGTCAAAATCTGTTCTGTGTGTCTGTCTCCTCTCTGTCTGTCTGTCTGTCTGTCTGTCTCTCTCTCTGTCTGTCTTTCTATCTCTCTCTGAATCTCTCTGTCACCCTGTGTTTCTCTGTCCTTTTCCTGCTCTCTATGTCTGTCTCTGTCTATAACAGAAAAAAGTTGTTTCTGTTAGCCTTTTTTTGTTTTGTTTGTTTTTCTCAGTCTCTATTTCTCTCTCTATCTTAGTCTCCCTGTCTGTCTGTCTATCTGTGTGTGTGTGGGGGGGGGAGTT